TTTTTTTAACGATGGAGGGAGGGAAAAATCGTGTAAATAAATTTCGAGGGACATTTTTTTTATTTTTAATTCCCAACAGATTTTTTTTTACATTTCTTTCTAAAGTTGCCGGCAGAGAGAAGAATTTTAATCCTATGCAGACCGATTATACAAAAATCTTCATTGTTATATACCTTGTTTGTTATTTTAGTGTGTTTCTAGATTGTGTTAAATCGATTCATTTCCCGCTTTCTTCATCCATTTTAATTATTCTTTTCGTTGATTCAACGATTGTTTGATGAGATGTTGGCGAAAAGGGCCCTAGAGATTTTTAAAATTAAAATCATTACATTCCTTGTTTTAAAAACTATATATAAATTTTATTCCTCTAAAATTTGTTTATTTATATATATATATATATATATATATATATATGTCATATATGTGTGTTTGTGTGTGTGTGTGTGTGTGGTTTATGTTATTTAATGAAATGGAATATTTACCATTCCGGTGAGTTCTTGTCTTATTGTTATGATAATTTACCCACGCACGCATGGACTCATCCAGCTATAAATAGGAGCAGGTACTGCCTTTTGGAGAGGGAAGTTTCCAGCGGTCGGCTCTGACAGTCGGACCGAACATTCTTTCTGTAACACTCTCGTTTGTATGTTTGTATTACTGTCTCTGTTAATATATTTGTTTAACTCAATTCCTCTCTTGTGTCTTTATTTCTGACCCTAACAAGGTGAAAACACTTATGACGACTTCTTAAAGAATAATCCACCAAAGCTGTTATTATAAAACAAGCTTCAACAATCATCCTGCTACTTAGCGGCGTGTGTTTGGAAGATGGCGATTATGGCCAGACATTAAAAATTTCGCCCTATCTAAACATCTCATTGTCCATGAAAGGGAAGAGCAGCTAAAAAATAAATCTTAAAACTAATGACGAGTGTACGGCCAGCTATAACTAGAGTTGGGTTCTCAATAAAAACACCGTGATGAAGGCAACGGAAACCCGCTATTTATCCCCAAAACTATCATGGCAATATATATATATATATTAAACTGTGATACTTCAACAAGAAGAGAATCTTTTATTTTTAAGATTTGATTGAAAACCCTTTGGGTCAAGTTATTCACTAGGCCCGTTGGATAAAAACGCTGGTTGGATCCAGTAACTTGACCCAAACTGTTGTGAGTTCAGTTTCTAGCTACTGCAGTGGTGAATAAAAACTTGAAGAGCTGAGTTAAAGGGAGATAACTGAGACACCCGGAAGAGGCATGGCATGTGGAACTAGAACAATCTACCACGTGGACGAAATAGAGAGTTCAGTTCGAAATTTCAGTCAACCGGAGCGTACAACGGCAAACACGTTGTGAATATGGCAATAAAAATGAGGATAACAGTTTGAACAATGTAAATAATTGCAATACCTCAACCTAAGAAATATAGACAGAGATCGAAAAATACATTTTCCGAAAGAGATTTTCACATTTATATGATTCAATAACATATTCAAACGCTTTGTTTAAGGTTTCTGGCACGTTTATTTTTTATGAACAAAAGTGTCAAATTTTAACGAACGATAATGGGTATGTCCACATTCACATAAATACAGTAGTAAATACTGTATGTTGGTCTGCAGTTGGAGTTTCATCTCCAGCTGTATTAGTCAAACTCTCTGCCTCCGAGCAGAGAGGATCCCCAGACGAGGCTACGTCGAAGGGCAGAGTCACGTCTCGGTAAACAGCTACTTGACCCCGTTTTAGATGGGGTCTACGAGGAATTTTGGCCGAGCTTACAGGTTCGGATACCCCACATTAAATTCGGCCTTGTGCCACATCTGGCCGCGTGGGGTGGTTGGTAGATACCCTGCAGTTCGTGGTGGAATTCACTTGACACACTTCTAGCAGTTGACGACTACTTCTACGCGCTGCTGGCGAATCTTATATGTGTTGTTCTTGTCCTAAGTATTATCTTTCATTATCAAACTTCATATGATTATTCTATTCAGTAACCTCTCCCTAGGTTACAACATTTTGGCGACGAGGATTAGCCAAAATGATAACATTAACCATTTGTGAACGTTATGAAAATGTTGAGTATAGTTTTTTAAATTCTCAAAACTCAGAGATGAAATATGAGAATGAGTTTAGTTCAGAGAATTGAAAAATGTTTCGATGATTTCAATATTTCTCTTCATTTCACGTCCAGATAACCGAAATCTGATAAATTGAGGTAAGGATAACCGAGGATCTACTGTAAATGGTTCCACGTGAGTATATTATTTCACGAAATTATGATAAGAAAATTATAATGAAAGCATATATCTTCTGAAGTACATGACCTTAAACTATAGAGAAGCACATATTCCATATCTCTTTTTCTCTCCAACTAACCAGTATCCCACTACAAACTGATACTGTAAACAGTTTAAAAAATCTTGCGAATTTTAAAATTAAAATTCTTAGGTTAAAATGGTCACTAACTAAAGGTATCTTAATTCCAACTGTAAAGAAAATTTTGCTTTGTTTAATGAAAATAGGCATTGAACGCTCTATATGAGTCAGTTTTAACATATTTCAAATTCTACGTTGTGTTAGTAGGACTCTGCCTGGATTATACCAACGGATTACTATTTATATATATATATATATATATATATATATATATATATATATATATATATATATATATATATGTGTGTGTGTGTGTGTGTGTGTGCGCGCGTATGTGTGTTTGTATGTGCACATAGTTTTATTTTTCAAAAATATATTCACATTTCAGGAAAGGAAAAACTTGTATAGATATTGTAATGCTAAATTTTTTAAGGCATCACGCGATAAATCTAAGTTACCTTTGAACTTTACAAATCACAAGTGATATCTATCTATCTATCTATCTATCTATCTATCTATATATATATATATATATATATATATATGAGGAGGTACGGTGGAGTAGTGGATAGTGGCTCGGATTGAGCCGACTTCGAATTCCAGTTGAATCCATTACGTGCTAATACCCTTGATGAAGGTATAATCCTCTTCTTCAACCCTCCAGCTATGGATAAATAGCAGGACAGACTGGGTTCCAGACTTAGATGGCTGTTGTTCCAAGACAGGGACAACTCTGAAATCAAAACCTGAGGAAGTTTGTTTGGGAACCTTGTGGCACGTAGTGCACCAGGTCTCTGCATAAATAAAATTAAAATGTGTGGTTGGTTCTGCACAAAGCCTTCTCCACCATAATCAAATCCGATGTGCCGCTGTCTGGGCTGTCGGCTCCTCATACGTCGAATACAACAGGAAATTCCACTGTATATATATACATACATATATATATATGGAATATATAATTATTTATTTAAAAATATGACCCCAAATTTTTTAAGAAAGTTCCATGTTTAAAACAAAAAATTTCGCTTGAAGATGGAAAAATATTTATATTAACTCAATTTAAAATAAATAATTATATTGAAGTTTGGGCTCTTGTTTTGAAACATGGGATTTTTTATGTCGCGATTTGGAATCATATTTTTAAATAAATAATTATATTTATGCTCTACTTTTGTATCAAGCACTATTTTAAAAAAAATAATAACTAAAATACTAAGGGACTTTGGATTATTTACCTAACCAGTTCCTTCCTATTTTCTATATATTTTCTCATATATATATATATATATATATATATATATATATGTATGTACATCAAGGTCAACACCCAGAGGCAACAATATATTTCATGCTTAAACGCACACTTTTAAGCATGAAACAGACTATCGCCACTGGGTGTGGGCATCAATGTCCACTTTTACATTTACATTTGGGCTATCCCTGATATTAAGCACTTTAACCTATGAATATAGCACTCCTTTAAACTATATGTCCATCATATATATATATATATATATATATATATATATATATATATATATATATTAATGCCATTGCAATAGTTACTCGAGTAGTAAGGAACGGAAGAATGTGCTGGCCGTTTAGGACTAAAATAATTAAAAAAAAAAGTGCACCTTCCTTTCTTTTACTGATGCAAATTTGCCATCTCAACCTCTTAACATCGAGATCGAGGTCAATAAAAAACTGTCAATGTTGCCAGATGATTTGCACTTAATTCCTAATTGATGAATATTACACAAGAAATTACTGACAGCATTTACATTGTTTGGACTATAGTACTCATCTTTATTGCCATATACACGACGTTTCGGCCATTGTACATGCTGGTCTTCTTCAGGTGATATTTGTTGGAATTTCGAACTGAACCTTTTATTCTTTTAATTCCAACAAGTATTATCTGAAGAAGGCAGGAGCGTGCAACGGCCGAAACTTCGTGAATGTGACATTAAAGATGAGGACAACAGTTCGAAGAAGATAAATTGTGTAAATATTTACAATACCTAATCTTAGAAATTATTTCTTCAGTGGCGTTGTGATGCCACCCCACAAGCGACTCCCATGACATGTGACCTAGTTGCTTTCCAGAGATAAGTCACTGCTGTTACCGCATTTATTGTTAATCAAGATTCTGTTGCTGTTTTATCCTTACTCCTAAATCGTGCTGTTTAATCTTTAAACCGATAACAGATCGATTAAAAATTTCAAAATCAGAAAGAAGAAGCAATTTTTTTTTGATTTTATTTATTTATTTATTTTGCAAAGATATTCCAATATTTTAGAAGCCAACATCGCCAGTGCTAAGGGAGATAACTCTGAAACGGAAAAAATGGTTACTGACATTGCCTGTAAAAAAAGCACTTGGCGTATTATTTAGTAAACATTTTTCATCATAATTTTTGTTTTCTGTATTTTCCTGGCGGAACCCTTGTGCTTCATGGAACACTGACTAAAAATTAGTGCTCTAAAGAATCGTTGCTTAAACCTGATGCTAGAACGGAAACAATATTTTTCGGTGATGACCACAAGGCTAATAATGGCGGCAATAAGGACGCAGTTATTGAGTTGAGATGCGAAACTTATTAATTGTAGCAGCAAGATCAGGGGGAGATATTGGTAGGGTCAGCAGGTGCGGGCACAGGTGACGTGTTCCTACTGGTTGAGGCTCGTCGTGTAACTATCGACTGTCGCTTGATGGGCGTGCTGTATACGGAAATATTAGAATGCCTTTTGCAAAGGTTACTTAGTGCATGTTACTCAAGTGTTAACCTTGGGTAGAAGTTATTGCGGTTGTCTGTGCGCTAGAAAAATACATGAAAGATAAAGATCTTAAAAGGATTTTTTTTTCTAACAATATTATTATTATTGTTGTTTTGGGGGTGAAAGCAGCACACTAAACCTAATATACCTATCACGACATCCAGTTTGATGAGGGTATACAGAGCTCATGCATCACAGCCAAGTGTGCGCGCTATGGTGACAAAAAAACAAAAAAAAACAGGACATAATCTTGCAGCTGATGTCCGGTTGGAAATACCTTCAGATCGGGTAACTCAGTCCGATAAGACGGCTTTCGATTGTAAGTGTTCCCTAGTATCTAGATGTGACCCCCAAAAAAAAAAAAGCTGGTCACCATCCATCCATAGTGCTCTTACACTACTCTTGAAGATCCACAGTGCATCAAGACGTAACGGGCATGTGCAAGCGGTTATGGTCAGGCACGGTGGAGTAATGGCTAGCGGCTCGGATTGGAGAATTGGAGAGCTGAGTTCAAATTCCACTCGGATCTATTACATTCACTTACATCCTCTTTTTCTCCAACCAGCGATGGGTAATTAGAAGGACAGACTGGGTTCTTTAGCCTTGGGTGGCAACCAGTCTAGGAGAAAGTAACTCTGAATTCAAAACTTATGTAGCCCTGATGTAGCGCATACTATACAGTTAAAGCAAAGGATCGTTCGCATTGGCTCCATGATCCCGACTGCAGTCGAAAAATGATGGTCAGGCAATTGATAAATAATTCTGTGGTACTAAAGAGGATCTTTGCCAAGAAAAAAGCACGTACATGGTAACATAAAATCCAGTCGAATCCATTACATTCACTTATACCCTAGAGAAAGGTATGAATCCTCTTCTTCTGCCCTCCCCCATAGCAAGACAGACCGGGTTCTATAGACTTGGATGGTCGCAGGAAGAAATGGCAACCTGCTGCGGGGAAAAAAAATCTGCCTCGTCAGTCATGTACCGAAAGATACATGATCGCCTAAGCGTGTTTCACGCCTGGCGCATAACTGCCTGATAAGACAACATGTCGTACATTTCATCATAACACAACATCAAGTAAGATATCCAACATTGCTTTCAAATGATTAAATTTAATTCGTACTACCTTTATTTAATCTGTTGCAGTTATTTAGACTGAGGTAATTTAGTTAAATTACATAAACTGAGAGCATTTTCCCCGGATTTTAAGCAAAATTATACAAGATGGCAGCAACCGTCTTATAGCAGACAGGAAACAGCATGCTGTAAACTGTGAAAAAAACAAAACAAAAAAAAACATTACGAAATATTTAATTAGTGCCAAAATGCTCATAAAATAATTAACTTTTTTTAAACTACATTCACTGCTACTTTGTATAGTACTACATACGGTGTAAAAATGATCACGTTCTCTGGTCAGTGGAGCTGGGCAGGAACTGATTCTAGTGCGTTAACTTAAAAAAAAGTGAAATAGATGCATATGTGTGTCAGAGGCAATACGCAAAATATCACAAGCTGACTACAGAACTTCATCATATGGATGTCATTCATGGTGTCAAACTAGTTCAGAAACATGTAAACTGTCACCTTTGCACAATCACTTTCTCAGCTCAGTGTTTAAAATTACTTCGAATTTCATGAATGAAGCCAATAGATCTGAGCAAGGATCATCTTTCTTCAAACCTTAGGGACTGGCGCTGCAGAATCATAAACAATTTCATTAGAAACAAAGAAATGAATACTGAACTGTTACCAATATATGCCGGACAATCTCCTCACAGATAAAGAAAAGACTTGAAGCAACAGAAATATGGCTTTACAGAAGGCAGCTAAAAATATCTTTGAATGAAGATGTGAGCAATGGCGAAGTTTCAGAGAAAATTTCTAGGGTACATAATGAGAAAAGGGGGCTTCGAAAATTAGACACTCACAAGGCATATTGAAGGCCAGAGGGAGTAAGGAAAGATCTAATAATCTGCCTAAAGAATTTGAGAAAATGGTTGGCAGAAGAGAATTTAACAAAAAGACAAAATTTACTAAGAGCCCCAAAGAATAAGAAATTATAGAGAGCCCATCTCCTGAAGGTATATGGACCATAAAAGAAGTCAGTGATTCTATCTTCTATCGATATGACTTCAGAATGTAAACGATCATGGCACTCCCTAATTTCCTCCCGAACTAACTCTTAAACCTTTGCTACATCTCATTGTTCTTGTTCTTCAATCCATTCACCCAAACTCGTTAATTAGGTTACTCGCTGTTTTTGCTTGTTCCTCTTGTCTTCAGTATGCCCTTAGGAGTGTTAAATTCTCCAAGCATTCTTTCCACATTATACGCCCCAGAAATTTCAGCTGTTTCTACATTTTTCATATTCACTATAAAACCTCTTAATTATCTGCATGCTCTCCGCACGATATTCTCAGCATCCTTCTGTAGAACCAAATCTCTGTCTAAGCCTATTCTTCAACTGTGAGGAAATTGTTCAACATTCAATGGGATTAGATATTACTCAATAGGCCAGCATTTTTTTCTTTGTGTCAATGAACTTTTTCATAGCTCCTAATACTATGCTTAATTTCTGAAAGGCATCTTTCATTATTGCTCTGCGCCTACGGATTTCTGTGTGAGATTTTCCTTCACCTGTACTCAGGGGATAATTAATTTTCTGCATTTGCTTTATTTTGACGTCACCAGTGAACAGCTTGCAGTTTAGCTTGTCTCTTTTGCAGATAACCATGCATTCTCTCTTGTTGCCGTTAATAGTTAGCACTTTCTTCTTCATTTGCTTAACAACAGAATGGCTGAAGAGTTAAAGTCGATATTTTCCTATTTTTCAAATCGTAAATCTGAATATTTGATATACACATATGTCAGTACTGAAATCGGTCCTTCAGCTCCATTCTTATTGAATAAATCGATGACCTTTTGATATTTAAGGAGGTGACAACAACATAGATTTAAATATTGAATGAAGACATTCTTCTCAGGAGACGATATCAATGGTCTTAATGTGCCGTTTACAACAACTCGACCTTTTTAGGTTAGCAATGTTCTTAGAAATATAGCTGATTTGTAGAAATGCTGCTAGAATCAGTTTTCCTTAAAAATATAAGTATTCTTAACACACGCAAGCACGTACAAATATATATATATATATATATATATATATATATATATATATATATATATATAAAAACAATATGAAAGCTTAAAATAATAAAATAACTCCAGCGGTCAATGTCACGTGGTTTGAGCTTTGATATAATAAAATATTATGCGATATGTATTTTAGTAAGTTAATACAGAATGCAATTTTGATTATATATATATATATATATATATATATATATATATATATATATATATATATATATATATATATATATGTATGTATTAAAATGGAATATGGTTCTATTTTCGCTGGGAGACACATTGTCTTTAGAAAGATTTTCGATCTCTAAGACAGCAGACATAAATTACCATGTAAAAAGCGATGTATATTCAAACACGTGTAACATTTTTACGTCTTAAGGCATCGACATAATATCTAATGGTTGTGTCAGGCATGACACTGCCAGTCATGTGACAGCATTAGTTACAATGTTCAGATTATTGATATCTAACATGCCTATATACCAAATACTGAGAACTTTTCCTCATAAATATAATAGATTTAGAACAATATTGCATGCATACACATATTCTTAAATATAATACTCAATATATATATACAGTGTAACCCGGATATAAGTGACCCTGATATAAGAGAAACCCGGATATATATATATATATATATATATATATATATATATATATATATATATATATATATATATATATCAAATTAAAATAAATCTTAAGTGCCAGGAAAACCTAGGTTTTATTCTAAACGTATCTTCAGGGTAAGCTGGTTTACTCTGAAGATCCGTTTAGGTGAAACCTTGGTAGGTTTACCTGGTTCCTTAGGATTTGTTTTAGTTATTCCCGCTCTACTTACCGTATTGAGCACTCTACGTTTTAGTTTTACTACTCGCTTGGAGTTCTTTTTTTCTTTGGACTAAAGACTCAAGGAACTGGACGATTTATTTAGCCCTGTTCGGATGTTTTTAGTTCTTTCTTTTTTTTAAATTTAATTTTTTCCTCGGTTACCAATTTTTTTTTTATATATCTACAAGTTGAGCTCTCAGGTTTTTTTTCCAAACGAATATTACTATTATATATATATATATATATATATATATATAGTAATATTCGTTTGGAAAAAAAACCTCATATACAGTGTAACCCGGATATAAGAGAGTAGTCGGGACCGGAGAAGAAGTTACAACTTACAAGTTATAATTCTAGTGATCAGGGAAATGTCCTTTTGGGAGTAAACCGTTATCTTCCCCACATATAGCCATAAACTGTTCCTCTTTCTCTGTACCTCTCTACCTTGAGTGGCTCTTGGGCCTTATGCAGGGTGCACATCACTGTAAAAAAGCTTCTTTCAGCGAGTGTCGATATTATAATGTAACTCGATTTCTGCAAGTGGAATTCAAGGCTCAATTCATAAGAAAAGAAAAAAATAACTTTGAAGTTTTTCGATTCCCATGAAAAACGGGAATTTATGGGCGTTAGTCATTCACTTTTCTTTAGTTTGCATGTCTGAACCGTGTAAAAAAATAATTTTTTTTTATGCTATACCCACGCATTGAGAGATTTTCATTCTCAAATGTGATCGGCTATGACCTGTTTTCCCCACACCTTGGTTTTTTTTTTATTTGTTTATCGAAGTTAAGTGATCGAGGGTTTTTGAGAATAAATGACAGTTCATTCATTTTCTGAAGCCAAAAAAAAAAAAAAAAAGAAAGAAAGAAAGAAAGAAAGGAAGATGAGGAAATAAGCGTTAAAGATATGTGGGAAAGAAACAAAGGCAAAATAATGTAGGAAAGAAAGAAAGAAAGAAAGAAAGAAAGAAAGAAAGAAAGAAAGAAAGAAAGAAAGATGAGGAAATAAGCGTTAAAGATATGTGGGAAAGAAAGAAAGGCAAAATAATGTAGAAAAGAAAGAAGGAAAAAAAGAAAGAAAGAAAGAAAGAAAGAAAGAAAGAAAGGAAGAAGGAAAGGCAAAATAATGGGAAAGAAAGAAAGGCAAAAATAAAAGGAAAGAAAGAAAGAAAGAAAGAAAGAAAGAAAGAAAGAAAGAAAGAAAGAAAGAAAGGAAGATGAGGAAATAAGCGTTAAAGATATGTAGGAAAGAAAGAATGGCAAAATAATGTAGGAAAGAAAGAAGGAAAAAAAAGAAGGAAAAAAGAAAGAAAGGAAGAGGAGGAAATAAGCGTTAAATATATGTGGGAAAGAAAGAAAGGCAAAATAATGTAGATAAGAAAGAAGAAAGAAAGAAAGAGAGAAAGAGAGAAAGGAAGATGAGGAAATAAGCGTTAAAGTATGGGGGAAAGAAAGAAAGGCAAAATAATGTAGAAAAGAAAGAAAGAAAAAAAGAAAGAAAGGAAGAAAGGGAGAGAGAGAAAATGTGAGAAAAATAAAGAGGGTGTTACTCAAAAAATAATGAGTAAAAGAACTATGTAAAAGAAAGAAAGTAGATATCATAGAATTGAGAAAGAAAGAAGAGAAAGAAAGAAGAATAGAAAAGGTACCATACAATAGCGAAAGAAAGAAGAAAAAGAGAAAAGGAAATCAAAACAGTGATGAAGTAGAGAAAGAAATACGAACGAAGAAAGAAAGAAAAAAAAACAGCAAAAAAGAAAGTAGGAAAGAAAAAAGTAAGTAAGAAAGAAAGAGAGAGGGTGAGAAAAGTAAAGAGGGTGTTGCGCAATAAACAATGAAAAAAAGAAACGTAAAAGAAAGAAAGCAGAAGTCATACAATAAAGAAAGAAAAAGCGAAAAGAAAGATGAAAGGCAAAGATATCATATGAAAGGAAGAAAGAGAAAAGAAAGAATACAGCAGTGTAAGACATAATAAACGACCGAAAAAAAAAGAAAGTTACAAAAGAAAGAAAGCAAATAAAGGACAAAAGAAAGGAGTTATACAAGTCCGAACATAAACAAGAAAAAGAAAAGAAATTATAGAATAAAGAAATAGAGAAAGAAAGAAAGCAAGCAAAATACCCCGATTACAATTACAGCAAAACCTATGGCATGTGACACTTGTTGAGTTCTTGTAACTACAAGACTTGATAGTGACTCAAGGCTGATAGTGGGCGTAAAAGATTGTGCGTCGACAGTCGAAGCAGGCATAGTGTCTTACTAAATAAACTGATTAATATTGATAGCTGTGTGGATGTACACGTAGCGTAGCGGTTATCAGCGTTGACAGTGAAATCGACGAGCCGGTTTCACTTTCAAAGAACTGTCTACGGGAATGGCAAGAACGAACGCTTATACCCGACTACTTAAAATTAGTTAAATAGCATGACAGGCTGGGCCCTCTAGCGTCGGTTGACAAACAGTCTACGCGAAGGATAACTCTGAATTAAAAAATGACGCTGCCAACTCCCCCACTTAAAACCTACTTGCGACTGAAGCTTCACCTGCACCACCTAGCGTCTCGGGGCTTCACAGGGAGGCTACAGGGTTAGGTTAAAAAAAAAAGAATAAAGGAAAAGGAATATCTGAAGACATGAGATGCTAACCATTTTTGGTGGGGAGGTATCCTTAAAATATAGATAAATATGGATTGTGGAAATAGCCTATCAGGACTGGATTCGCTATGCTAGTACCGAAGAGGGAATATATCTAGCGAATTAAGGCTCCAGGGCGAGGAAATGTCAAGATTCACAAGGTCACAATATGGCATTTTGGAGATATTAATGCTTAAAGTATTAGTAAGTTGCTTGGTGGACGAGTTTCATATCTGTCACCTTCTAGAAATAATCTAACCCATATATATATATATCCTGTGTATTTAGACAGCAAATGTTCTTTAATGGAAACGATATTAAAATATATATATATATATATATATATATATATATATATATATATATATATATATATATATAATTATTTTTTAAAAAAAATGATTCCATCGTTACATAAGAGTTCTCATGCTTCAAAAACAGGAGTTGAAACGTTCAATTTAATTAAAAATTAAATTAAATTAAAATATCAAGCTCTGTTTCATCTCCAATCGAAATTTTTTGAATAACTAATCTTGAAATTTATGGATCTTTATATTTGAACACACACACACACACACACACACACACACACACACACACACACACACACACACACACACACACACACACACACACACACACACACACACACACACACACATATATATATATATATATATATATATATATATATGAAATGTTTTTATGCCAAACGATATTAAAGACATCATATATATATATATATATATATATATATATATATATATATATATATATATATATATATAGTTATAGATGTATATATATGAAATGTTCTTAAAGCAAACGATATTAAAGACATTTTATATATATATGTGTTCATATATGTGTGTGCATATATATATAGAGAGAGAGAGAGTGAGAAAGAAAGAGCTAGAGAGAGAGAGAGAGAGAGAGCCAATTGTTGATATCCCCCGACGAGTGGACGGAGTGGTCCGTTTACGAAACACTGGAGTCGGGATGCTGAAGGTAACATTAATCAGTTATGTGTCAAATCTTTTCCTTATATTGATGCTGTTAATGCTCTATCTTTGATATTGAGAACTTTATTGCAACAACTGCTTGCCTTGAATGGCTTTTCTCAGTATCCACCTGACTGACAGCATTTTTAGATTAATATTTTCTTATTTTTATGCAGGTTTTTAGATAACACGTTTAGCCATCTCGTCACCATTTGTCATAAGAATCAGCTAGAAAGCGAGCAGGTTAAAATCGTTTTGTGTCAGACTAACTGCCTTCGCAACTGAACAATGGTGAGAGGAAAGAAAGCATTCAGGCGTTAAGTAATGCTGTCAACCATACTCTGGATTCCATCTTCAAAGTCTGTTCAAGAACCATTAAGAGATTGGTGAATAAGCTTAAAAAAGAGGGAACAGTAAAGAGGAAAACTGGATCAGGAGACACAACAACAAAAGTGATCATCATTTCAACTTAGAACTAAAGAGATCAATTAGAAAAGATGCAACTCAATCCATAAGTTGTTCGGCACGAGAGAGGAGTTTCAGCTACGACTGTTCAAAGAGCAGTGAAAAAAAACACTTGAAAATGAAATCGTGCGTGAAACTTATGATGCAACATGTTACTCCAGAACAGAATGTTAGAAGTTTAGAGAGGGCGGAGATCATCGTGAATAAGTTGGAAAATGATCCTGGAATATATATATATATATATATATATATATATATATATATATATATATATATATATATATGGAACCGTCATTTACGCTGACGTGCCTTGACCGCTCGACCACAAAGGTTCGTTTGGTTAACAAGGTTGAATTTACTGCTTATAAACTTCAATCTTCCATGAATCTCGTACATTCATAACTGCTCATGGCGTATCAAATGTAAACAAATGACGTCATATATTAAGAAATGGACAAAGTCCGACAATTTATTTATTGAAGACATTTTTATGTTTAACGTTCTTTTTATAGATACAAGTATTTAAGTAAATGCTCTGTTTATAATAAACAGTATTAAATAACATTTACCGGCCTGAATGTCCGAGAAATTGTCATAGAAAATATTCGTCATTTGTTTACATTTGATATAAATGAGCAGTTATGAATGTACGAGATTCATGGAAGATTGAAGTTTATTTTTTAAATATATATATATATATATATATATATATATATATATATATATATATATATATATATATATATATATATATATTTGAATTTTATTTCAATCTTTCATGGACTTCCGATCTTTAGTTATGATTAATTTATGATGAACATGTCATTTTTGTTTAAGTTCGATTTCATCACGATTCTTCTGTTAAGCTTAGAGAGTAATTATACATTCTTATTGCTTAATAATAAGTTCAATAGTTCGAACCGAACCCTTTATTTAGTCCACGGTGTAGATTGTTCTAGTTCCACGTGTCATGCCTTTACTGGATATCTCAACGAAATTCCAACATATATTACCTGAAAAAGGCCGGAGCGTAGAACGGCCGAAAAGTCGTGAATATGACAATAAAGATCAGGACAACAATTCGAACAATGTAAATAGCGTAAATATTATTTAAGTTCAATTATTCTAAGCATACGGCATAATAATGTGTTTTTTTTAGAGATAGTTAGCGCGACGCTCATTTCCCATTATTAAATTTAGGAAAGACATGAAACCATCTCTTCCTCGCACATTATATGTGCATGCGTGTGTATATGACCTGTAACCCCTTAGGTTCGTAGAGACATCACATTTAGTGATGCCATGGCCGCAGTTGTGCGTCCACGGCAAGATAGCCTGACAGCGCTCAAACCCTCTTCAGGCTGGTTCAGAGTTTTCCTTCTTCTAGAGTGGTTGCTGCCTCAAGGAGGAGCGATCCCAGTCTAGCTTCCTAACCCATTCTTAACCCATAGTTGGAAGGGGATGGAGTCATGCCTTTCCCAAGGAAAACGAAGTGAACGAAACAGAACGAAAATTGAACTCATCACTCCAAATTCCCTTTCCATGCTAATAACCATTACACCACCTGCGCCTCCCTGTGCTTATTAACTATGGGTTAAATAACAGGATATACTGGGCTCACTGATTCTAGAAGAAGAGAGGGTTACTCTAAATTCAAAACCGTAGTGAAGACAACAGGAAATCGCTTCCACTATATTCCCAAGAATAATGCCTTTTCATATATATTAAACGAAAAAAGAAGACCCAGATAGCTATGATAGCCCATGTTCTGAAAGGATGTGGCATTTCCAAAAATCAAATTTTGACAATAATTATTTCAGGCTACTACCGTAGCACAATGATAAGAATGCTCACCTTACATAACAATTCGTTATCATAATTGTTGAATTCCACTGACCCATTGGTCATTCTGATGACATTGAAACAGACAGACTTTACGCTAGATCATTTCAAACGTCCAGCTTCCAACAGAATACCAGGATGTAGACAAAGGAATTCTAACTACCGCAGAGATAGCAAACTGGCTCTTGATAATGACTCCAATAGTAGAATGTTCTTGAACAAAAATGACAAAAAATGAACTACGGGCATTTTATCCTCAACTTAGAGCAGAATATTCAACACTTAATCTTATTGGAATAATATAAAAAATTAAACAGACAGAACTTGTCGGTTTTTTTTTATCAAACTTATTTTGATAAATACTTCCTGCCTAAATATACCTTATTCAGAGCGTTTTCACATGTATTCATTGTAATCGAGACTGTCACTCCCGTGTGGACCTGTACGGATATTGAACCGCCATTAACAGCTGAGGCATAACGCTTTGGCCGTAGTGAAGAAAGTTCACAGTACTGAGGTGCCTAGTAAAGGCAAGTACTGAAATCAGCTTCAATTATCCCACATCCCATGTAGTTGAGGTTGCAGTGAGGACATTTTTAATCTTAATCTAGCCTACGGCTAAGCAAATAAGTTAGACATATGGAGTTTAGAACTTTGCGTTTTTCCAACTGGCGGCAGTTATTGGCATTTGAGCCCAGATAAAACCAAGGGTTCCAATGCTGATTTTCATTGTAAGTAGACATGAAAGATTACTGCTGTCTAATCGGATTTTTCTCCGCTGGTTTGTGCAATAAAAGCTGAGTTTAGTAGATAATACAGATAAATGTTTTTTTTAAATATATTTATGCAAAAAAAATTATTTCCTTTAAAATTGCATACAAACACACACACACACACACACACACACACACACACACACACATATATATATATATATATATATATATATATATATATATATATATATATATGATAAATGACTGATTTGACTGAATAAAGGTTAAGCGTTGTCCCATTTTTTGGTATCAAGTGATGCGTGATATTGTTAGTGCACCCACAACGAAAGAAAGGAAAAGGACGGGCAGAGAACAGACTATTCACCCGACTGACTAACCGATCGACAAATCATGACCTGGTCTTTTGCGTGCAAACGGAGATATCCGCACGATGTTTACGAAGTATTGTCTCGAGGCGTCTATCCAGTCTGGTGGAAGTAAGTGAGCTCGTCTCGTCGGCCGATACGCTAACGTTATCAATTCGATCCTCACCGAGGCCTCCACTAGGCTGGCCACTATACCGGACTAAACGAGTTTTGGCATTATAAATTCAATGGTTGTTTATTACTATAGCCGTACGCTAGATTAAGAATAAAATGACCTTGATCATCAGCTACATTGGATGTGGTATAATTGAAGCTGGTCTCAGTACTTGCCTTTACTAAGCACCTCAGTACCGTATCCATGTGTCAGACATAATAAATGAACTTACTTCACTACGGCCGAAGCGTTATGCCTCTGCTGTTAATAGCGGTTCAGTATCTGTTTGGTCATACAGGTCCACACGGGAGTGACAGTCTGGATTGCAATGGATACATGTGAAAACGCTCTGAATAAGGTATATTTAGGCAGGAAGTATTTATCAAAATAAGTTTGATTAAAAAAAAACGACAAGTTCTGTCTGTTTAATTTTTTATATTATTCCAATAAGATTAAGTGTTGAATATTCTGCTCTAAGTTGAGGATAAAATGTCCGAAGTTCATCTTTTGTCATTTTTGTTCAAGTACATTCTACTATTGCAGTCATTATCACGAGCCAGTGTGCTGTATGTGCAGTAGTTAGAATTCCTTTGTCTACATCCTGGTATTCTATTGGAAGCTGGACGTTTGAAATGATCTAGAGTGACGTCACGTGTAACGGCTATTGTGAACGAGGCCACACAAAAAAGAATGCAATTTATTTATTTTAATAATTTATTTTATTTTTTTTATAATACTGATAAAATATGCGCGCACATTTATTATATAATATACATTTCAAGATACCGCCTGCCGTGGAGAATAATATTTTATTTAATGTGAGCAGTTTAAATTGCTTGTATGGCTTTGAGTTTTTCCTACTATTGAGTCCTGTGAAGTATTTTGGCACTATCTACTTGTTATATAGGAAGAAAGTGTCACTGCCGACACTGGAGTTTGAACACAGATCAGCAGTGAGAAAACACAGGCGATCCAATTTTGAATAAGTAGATCACGTGATAGTAATGGAAATATATATTTGGGACGTCTAAAAGATCACTATTTCTATTCTATCCTCTATTTTCCTGGTTTGAACAGAGGCAACCCGCCCCGATATTAGGCTAGTTTAGTTTTTTTTAGTTTGAATCTTTAGTTTCCCGTTTCCGGTTAACTTAGCTAGGGTATGCAGGCTCATTGGCCCCTTTTATTTCTGTCCCTATTTTTCTTTTGTTTAATTCCCCCATCCCTCCCTCGTTACGTGGTCAGTGATGTCAGTTCTCTGGTTGTTGCGGGATGACTTTCGTTTAGTGTGTGTGTTTTCGTATTTGTTATTGTGTCTAAATGAGTGCGTGTTTGTGGGCGTGCTTGTTTTTTTTTTATAATATTATAATCCCGCAATTATTTCGTCCAGTTAACTGATGTTTCTGTCACATTTAGGGATTGTGTTTTTTTTTTATCACTAACCCTATTTTGTTTTGTTTTCATGTAAATAGTATTAATTCATATTGTAAATAATCATTGTTTTTTTTTTAAATTGTTGTCCCCCGCCCTAGACTTTGAAATGTACATATGGGGACCAATTAGGATTTCATAGAGACATCGATGTATTATGGTGGATGTGAGAAAGGTAGAAGAGAATGTGTTGTTTTGGTGTTAGGACTATTGTTACTACGTTTGAGTCAGTGTTTATGGTTAGCTGAGTTTAGAATTAAAACAGAAGAAGACTGTCCGTTTCCCCAACCCCACTTTTTGGCCTTGTGCCACATTTTCTACCAACGTACAAATAAATATCTATTCTATCCTCTATTACTATACAGATTACTCTTTCTACTCTCTCCTCTATTAATATACGGATCGCTATTCTCTATACAAGGTATTTACTCTGTTTCTCCCCTAAGACGAGTTGTGACGCAGGGTCAGGTTTTATGGTGGGCACCCGAGCGCGTATACCCGGGCTAGGAACAAAAAAAAGAAAACAAATCTCTATACTATGCATTATACTATTTCTCTATACTGATCACTACACGGATTACTATTTGGTCGTTACTTTTCGAGTGAGTATTATTGAGCAAGTGCTAATAGTGCGAGTGTTATTCGAAGGCGTCTGACACCAGTATTGTTCAACGGCGTTACTATAGTTGTAAACAGCGATTACAAAGTCTCTACTACAACGAACATTATGAAAGTGACAACGAGTATTCGTTGACATTACCAAAGTTGACAACAGATGTTTGTTGACAGCACAAAACTACTACTATAGTTATTAGTCATTTAATAAATTTATTTTAGCGTGATACAGTGTCAAAAATATGGATTATACTCACTGGGTTCTACATACGAGGGACCTTGATCCAAACTCAGCTGTGTTAATGAAGGCCTATCGATCAAATAAACAATGTACAGAATTCATTGTTAATATACATTATTTTGCACGTCCATTATTCGAATTAGCTGTCAGGCAAGTGATAGATTAGATAAAAACGTTGTTTTTTATAAGAATACCTCTAACGATCAGGTTGAGAACCATAGTTTTAAATAAAAGTATATTTACGATCACTAATATAAAATTACTAATATATTTACTAATATAAAAGTATAGTGACAATTACTAATCCCGAAAATGCAATACAAAGTTATCAGAAAACGCTACGGAGCCGACATGATAACCAAATATCAAAACCACCTGACACTGAATATAAAGCTTCAAAAGCAGACGACTGTTTTCGTCCGGAACGGTAACATAGTGGTTAAAACACGTGTTACTGTCATCCAGAGGTCGAGAGTTCAATCAAATGGTTCAGCAAGACTGATCAATGACTAGCTGCACAGGGAGATAATATAAAGCACTACTCAACAGATATACCATATCATCCAAAACAATAGACTCCTGATGACAGCCAGAGGCTACTTACCCGAAACGTTGAGTCTATAATAACATTAATAATAATTAAGACGAGAAGAAAAAATTGAAGTAATTAAAGTATATTGATACATGACATTTTGTCCATATCAGTCGGAAGGTTTAGTCCCAGATCCCGGGTTTTAGCGACATCGGATCGTAATGATAACATAGAATATTCATTAGAGGTAAGTGTGAATCTCTATTGTTCACGGCAAGAAATTTTCCCTTGCGCAGACATAATCCGCTGTTAATGGATAACAGATTCAAGTACAACGTATAAAAAAAAACAAAAACAAAAAAAAACAAAAAAACATACCAGCAATTTCGCAATAAAAAAAAATTACTCACTCTTAATTTTACAGATTCATTTTCTGCAGAAAAAAATCTGCTGACAGCTTCCGATTTAAATGGAACGATGACAGTACGATGTACTTACCTAAAAAGAAAAAAAAGAACAATAATAAAAAAAATGAAAAAAAAAAATTAATTTGCATTTCTTTACATCTATTAACATTATTCGGACTATTGTCCTCATCCTTGTAGCCATATTTATTACAACGTTTCGGCCTTGTACGCTCCGGCCATCTTCAGGTGGTTGGAATGTCGAACTGAACCCTTTATTTTGCTCACTGAGGTAGACTGTTCTAGTTCCACATGCCATGTTTGATGGATGTCAGTTATCAGTTATCTCCTGTTAATTTCCCTCTGAAAGTTCTCCACTGCCTTAACCGGGTATTGAACTCACACTCTTTGGGTCCTGTCACTGGATCTCAAGGACATATGGCACAGTGGATAAAGGTGTTAGTTACATCCAGTGACAGGACCCAAAGAGTGTGAGTTCAATACCTGGTTAAGGCAGTGAAGAAATTTCAGAGAGGAATTAACAGGAGATAACTGACAACCATTAGACATGGCACGTGGAACTAGAACAGTCTACCCCAGTGAGCAAAATACAGGGTTCAGTTCGACATTCCAACCACCTGAAGATGGCCGGAGCGTACAACGTCCGAAACGTTGTAATTATATGGCGACAAAGATGAGGGCAATAGTTCGAATAATGTAAATAGTGTACATAATACATCATATCAGAAATATAGACAGATACTTAATTACATCTGTTGGACATCCGAGGAAGAATAGAGGAAAAAGTAGTACCGATAATCTTTAGATCACTGGAAACACTTTTAAAGAAACTGGAGCTTTAGAAAAAAATGTATATAATTCAGATATTAGTGCCATTGAAACATAAATGCTAAATACTGTTTTAGAGTTTAGTGATTTGTTTCTCTTCAATGATTTCTAAAAACAACTGGCTATAAACTATTTTTAATGCTTTAAAGACATCAGTTGTTACAGTATTTAAACCAAACGTAGAAAGACGACTGGATGGAACATATACAAATCTACTTAGCAAAAACCATAACATCAATTGGAGATCCCATGCAACGCTTAACACAGTTTAAGAACTGAGGCCAATGTCTCTTAAGCTCAAACAAAAATGATTAGTTTGCCGGCCACTGTCACCGAGCGGAAAGAGAAATCGTTTCACGCTTACTCCTATGACATCCTTCTGAAAGTGTTCTCTCACGAAAATTGATTTTCCCCAGACACCATAGTTCGGGTTTCAGAGTTGGACATTGGGGATCTGGGGACAGCAATATAGGATCGACTAGTGTGGAAAGGGATTGTCAATGGAATTTCGACCAACCATAGGGAGGTCGAAGGATAATGATAATCATGATTTAGAACAGAGCTCTTTATACTGTTTTCATTCATGGCCCTATTTTTCATGACGAGCTTTTTATTGACCCCAGGTATTAAGCAACTGAAAATAGATCCGTTGTCACTGCACTCGTTGCAACGGCGTCGCACACGCTTTTTATTATTGCAGCGCTTGTGCAGCGCATCGCGTTAAATATTGGGCCTTTATGAAATAACATATAAACTGAAATTCAAGGGTCTGAATTTAATTTTCGTGACACCAGTATTTCGCTTCGCGACCCAAAGTGGGCCGTGACCCATAGTTTAGAAAGTGCTGGTTTAGAGGAAACAGAGAGGCACGAAAAAAATACATGAATATATGTTGATATTGAAACATGATAGAGCATCTCTGAAACTATAGCAGCGTAGCCCTTAAAAGAATATTGTATTACGAACTCTATGGCTGGCTGACATCTTTTTTGAGAAAGAAGGCCGATATGACTTTGTGGACGACAAATACAACACATACACACCTACTACGTTGACAATGTTGATGAAACCTTGATATCCAGCCTTGTCAAGGACGAACCAGACTAAAACGGTCGACTCTCTGTACCAATCTAGTAAGTACCTGACTTCTGCTATCCTTTACTTTTACAAGATCTAGATCAAGCCAAAAATGGAGTACTGTTGTCATATTTGGGTTGAAGATGTCCAGGCCTCACTCTCCAGCTTTGAGTCCCAAAGCGTCTCCGAGCCGTTGTGTGTGACGAATTATTCTCCAACCTTTTTCCCACAGGCATAGCGCTTGTGGCAAGCCTCTCGTAGTTCTGTCGCTAATTCCTCGGAAATTGCTTGGACGAAATACATTCTCTGTTACCGCCAATTCAAACCTTCACGGCAAGGACACGCCACGACACTTACATAGTACCAAACCAACTGCATTTCCACCGTATTCTATAAGTAAGAAGAAAATTCCATTCGAACAGTTTCTTCTCCTGAATCATTAGTCTCTGGAACTAGCTTCCAAGCAGATGTTTCCACGATCGCTACAATCTTGGCATGTTCAAAGCTAGGATTAACCATTATTTTCCGCTCCTATCCACACAAATTGCCTCTTAACGTAACCCTCTACGTCGAGTGGCTTCCGGGCCTTGTAAAAGGCGAACCTTACAGTAAATAAATAAAAAAATATGGCGAAGCACATGGCGAAAAAATAGTTATCATGTAAGATACTGATGAGGAACGTTAGAAAAAAAAACCTAAAAAAAAGGGCGTATTTTACACGAATAATTATGGTAACAATAGTAAATTTTTTCAAAAGGATAATATGAAGAAATGGTGCTTAAAAAGATGGCGGTGATTTGAGAAGACTTTATACTATACGAATTACTCGTAATATAAAAAATACATAGTGAGGCAGAGAGGACAGAGGTTTTTAAAATGGCTATTACTCAGCCGCAGTGGAAGGGACATATGTCCAATAGGCACAATTCGGTCTGTGATGTCTTAGCATTTTCTTTCCCTTTTTCTTTTGACGCCATGGTGTTGTGGACGATAGAGCACCGCGCGTTCGTCTACAACAGTTTCGTGAAGAATAACGTGTTTCTCACAGGAGGCCCTAATTCAACATTTATCGAAATCAGTAACGAAATCTTACGGTGGGTTCATGCACCTCGTACACGAGATACGAACCCTAGAGAATGAGGGACGCGTCAGACATGCTTTGCTGCGCAGTCCGAATCGCTCTGTTCGGAGGCATGCTACTGAACTTGGCATCGATAATCGTTCGCTTAGGCGTATTTCACATGAAGGACTGAATGTTCACCCCTAAAAATTGGTCATTGGGCACACAGTTGAAACCAGGTGGGGGACTATGCACAACGGATTAATTTCGCACGTCAGATGGAAGCAATTTTTGAAGCAATTGACAACCTCATTTTGTTAATGAGTGATGAAGCTCATTTACATCTCAGTGGCATCGGGAATCAACAGAAATGTCGCCACTGGACTATTGAAAATCCGAGAGAACAGCACAGCCCCAAAGTGATGGTTTGGTGCATTGTTGGAAAAGCTGGCGTCATTGGTCCTTACTTTTTGAAGACCATAATGGAAATGCTATTACTGTGAACTCCGAACGTTACATCGAGATAAACAACATCTTTGTGCCTGAATTACGACGAAAACGTATTCCTATCCGACGTGTATGGTTTCAGCAGGATGAGCGGACGGCCCACGCAGCCAGACCATCCATGAACGTTCTTCACTCTCTCTCTGGTGACCGCCTCATTTCCAGGTTTGCTGATACTATTTGACCCCCCGGCCCCGATCCCCTGATTTGTCCATGTGAGATTATGTCTTGTGGGGAAACCTCAACGCACGTGTGTATGAGCATAAGCCTCATATATTGGACGATTTGAAGGAAGCTATTCGCGTGGAAGCCGCCCAAATCGACTGAGCAATTCCGGAAAGAGTGGAGGCCAACTTCCAGGAACGCCTTCAGAAATGCATAATTGAAAACGGCCACCACAGCAGGGATGTTGTTTTCCACACTTGATTTTGTCAAATGCTAATTCACAGCTCGTAACAACTATTAGGATGATGTGATTAAATATACATTAATGTTTTAAAGAATCATTCAGTGTTATTATTGTTTAGGTAAAAAACATTATAACATATCTACGTTGTGGAAAAAGGAATTTTCGACAATATACGTATTTTTAATTATTTATTGTTATTTTTTAAATTTTATCAAAAACGACATTCTTGTACATGTAGTTATGGATAATATTATACATTAATTACTAATTTTTTTAATTAAAAACTATTTGTGTTCAGTTGTTGATATTAAGGGCTATCTGCTGATGTGTTAAAATTTTGGAATAATGCAATAATAAAAATTTCAATTTCATCTCTCTGATACAAGTCGCGATCTGTAAATAAGAACACATTGATGTTAATAACATTCTTGAAGCTAAAATTAATAATGTGAATTTTTCAAAAACGTCCGTCCTCTCTGCCTCACTGTGTATTAATAAAAAAAGCAACTATATTAGCCACCAAGCAAACACTTTCGAAATTAAAGATGCTGTCTATTACTGTGTCGTCATTTACTTCAGCTGCCATTAACCCAGTAAATTTCGTAATGGCTTTTAGAACGCATTAATAACACTCAAGGTTTGGGTGCAGTAATTAAAATAATAACAAAGAAAAAATAAAACTTTTAAAGCTTGTAACAATAGCCGTATTATTTTCAATGAGACACCAGCCCGCAGACTGATTCCCCGTACAGACTCTTCCTCTTTAAGGAAACTCATTCCTATCTGTCTTGCCGACCACCTGGTAGGCAAGTTTTCAAAGCTGAAACCATGACCCAACGACACATGTAGATTTGATGAATACATACATACATACGTATGTACGTATCTGTGAGTATTTGTAGCAGTAAGACAGGTGATAAACACACAGAAAGCAATTAGAAAATATATAGGCAATTCGAATGTCAACGGGAAACAATAACTACATTTGTATTTAGACGTCGGTTGTATGTAAATCGTGTACACATTGCGCTTACGGCCATATCACGTGGAAACACCAGTTCCCCTACGATCACAGAAGTAAAGCAACGTCGATCCTAACCAGTACCTTGATTGACGACCGCTTGGGAATACAAGGTGTTGTAAGTTTGGATGTGCGGATGGTGTAATGGTAAATGACTTGGAATTGTTAATCAGAGAACCGAGTTCCAATTTCAGTTGGGTTCGTTAAATTCAGTTACGTACAAATATCATTGGAAAAGATATGACTCAATCTCTTCTTTCTCCCAGTTAATTAGTAAGATTTGTATTACTAAACAATTATCATTTAAAAGAAATTCTTACAATCTAAAAATATTATCTGACTTTAAATAACCTGCAATAGGTTAATAAGTCCTAGAAAACGAATCAAACAATCAAACCTAACTAATAATTATACTTTTTTTAAGCATTTCACCCCAAGCAAGGCGGGAGTGCCACTAACACGCAAGGGATTACAGAGAGTAAGGGCAAGAGTAAAGTGTTGTGATAGAGGAAAGGATGAAGAAGGACGGGAATTAGATCAAGACATCTGAAGATGTCGA